TTGCTCTTCTGCTCACTATGTCACTCCCTTGTCAAGAAAATAGTTGCTTTATGCAGCCGTTTCATAGGCTGTTCTCCTTGATTCTCCCTCCTCCGGGCTGTTGGCCAGGGGCTGCCACTCTGTCTGGGAAGGATACGCTGGTGCAGGCTGCCATGGTGCCTGCTGGCAGGGGCTTCTGCTGACAGTGTTTGGGGCCTGGGCTCTGGCAAGCTGAGGGCTCCAGTGCAGGTGTGAAGTTTGGGGGTTCCCTTCAAGGCCATTTTATTCATAGTACATTCAGAAGTTTACTTTTTGTTTAAATAGCATTCCTTTTTCTTTTTTTCTTTTTTTTAAACAGTTCTAAAACCTAGTTTTTTACTGGGCTTTTAAATTTAGTTTACAAACCTTCTTGTTCTTTTTGTAAATCTGACTAGTTTCAGGAATCCCGAGCCAAGACTCTTGTTCCTATCTCTAGCATCCTTGCGGGCCATACCCAGGGCCCAGGTACTCACTCCTATTTGAAGAAGGCTGGTCCTAACATATCTTTACAGTGTTGTTCAGAAATACTTAGGGTGCTATAAAAAATACCAGTTGTTGGGCCTATCCATGACCTGCTGAGGATTCAAATTCCTGGAGGTGTATCCCTGGAATCTGTGTTGTAATAAGTTCCTCATATGATTCTGATGTTCTCTATTTGACACCTACTGCTAAAAAAAAAACAAAAATGTACATTAGGTAGGCTCTTTAAAAGATTGTAAAAAGACATTTAGTATAATTTTTATTTTACATGTAATGTTCATTATGAAATTAAAAAATACATGTGAGTACAGAGAAAAAAATAAATCACCCGTATGTCAACCATCAGGGAAAACTATTATTAGACTTTTGGTATTGTAGGCATGCTTAAAATTTTCCTTTACCCTCTTAGGGTTTCTAACTGAGACTGACAGAAGACAGATTAACAGTAAAAAAGCATATGAATTTTATTTATACGTACATGGGAGGTCTCACAAGAAAAATGAAGACCCAAAGAAGTGACTAGGCCCAAGAGCTTATATACTATTAATATAATAGGTTGAACAAAGTATAGCAATTGTGAAAAAGTCACTAAAATAAATATGGGAGATTAAAAGAAATAAGCGTGTTTTTAACAAGGGCTTTTTGTACAGATTTCTTTCAGCCTCCCCTCTGTCTCTAGTGACAAGAATGTTTCTTCCTCCTGGCGTAGGGATGGCTTCTTTCACATGGGAATTTTATCTCATGCTTTTACAAAGAAGAAGGATGCTCAAAATATCCTCTTTGCATCTGCTGTTTTACAAGTGTCTTTAACTCAAAATAATCAGTGTTGCCAAA